TAATGGTGAAAAACCTGAACGCTTTCCCCTAAGAGGGGGCGCTCGGGGGGATGGGCCGGCCAGCCCGGGCCTGGCCCTGGTCCCCGCCGCTGCCCCTTCCCGACCTGGAGCGGAAGTCGCGCGAAGCCTCCCAGGAAGGGCCTGCGCGGGAGGGCCCGGCCCGCGGGGGGCCGCGCGGTCGTGGGTGGCCGCCCTCCGCCGCGCGCCCTCTGGCGGCCAGCGGGCTCCCCGTCCTGTTGGGGACGGTCCCCGGGCTGCTGTCCTCAGGCCCCCGCTTCCCCTCCTCCGACTTCGCTGCTTAGGACGGTGATCTCCGACGGACGCTCCCCGGGGCCTTGCCACCTCCCGCCACCGCTCTGTGCACGCCCCTTAGAATCGATGACGTCCGTCCCCCAGTCACTCAGGCAACGTTGGGCACCGCCACCTTCCCTCACCTCCCTCAGACCCGAGTGCCCGGGTCCTGTGGCCTTGCTCTCCTGGGCCTGCAGAGCCAGTTCCCAGCCTTCCTCCCTCCCGCACGTCCCCACGTCCTGCCCCAGGTCGTCCTCTGCAAGGAGCCAGAATGAGCTTAAGTGGGTTCACTGTGCTCACACGGTGGTGGAGTTCCCTGCCACCTGCCCGTACTGCCCACCGGGGGACCTGCTAAGGCCAGGCCCCAGCACAGCCCTGCAGTCTCTCTGGCCTACATTCTGGCACCACCCGCGCCCTGTTTTCTAGTCCTCGCTATTTGTAGTTTGCACAAAACCCAGCCTCTACCCCTTTCACCTGGAACACCCTTCACCTCTCAAGCCACAGATGGTCCCTTTCCTTTCTTGCCTCTGTGCACCTGGCACCGACTCCTCCACTTCAGCTCTTTGTACCCCTAAGGTCTTGCTCAGTTCTTGGTACTAAGTTAACTATGCTGGGGGGGCTGAGGGCAGAGATGGGCTTTTACTAAGTTTTGTATATTGCATTAATTAGCACTCTCGTTTAAAGAATCAGAACAAACACTGGTTTGGATCATAAACAACATGTAACTGCTTTAAATGAATTGAAGCTGCTGGGACAAATTATATCCATGATAGTGAGAGAGAATTTATTTATTTTTAAAGAGAGGGGGGGGATTTTTAATATTTACTTTTTAGTTCTCGCGGACACAACATCTTTGTTTGTATGTGGTGCTGAGGGTCGAACCCAGGCCCCACGCATTCGAGGCGAGCACTACCGCTTGAGCCACATCCCCAGCCCCGTGAGAGAGAATTTAGAGTCGTCATTTTCCAGAGACCATGTGAAAAGGAAAGCGATAATTTACTGTTTGCTTATGAGAAGCCTGGCATTGTGCTGTGTTCTACATTCATATTTTCAGATGTACTAGAAGCCCAAATGTGACTGCTTGAGCCAATCCACCTGTTAGCCCTAAAAATAGGCTTTCCCTCCACTTCATGGTAATCTTCCATATTCCCTACACAATGTGTGTATGTGTTAAAAATTACAGCTCAATGAAATAAACAACAGACTTTTGAAAATGGAATTGATGGCTTAGGGAGAAATTTCTATTGTGAGAGACGTTCAAACACAGGTGTGGCTAACTTCTTGATAACAACTGATAAATCTTATAGATGATTAATTTTAATCATTTAAGGTTCTTTCTACTGCCAAGATTTGATGAGGGGAGAATATAGTGATGGGTCTAAACCAGTCAGCAGACTTGAAAAAATGTGTCAAAATTTTCCAGGTATTTTCATAATGGAATTTTCAGTATAAGAATCTGCAACTTATTCCACTTAAAAGAATGCATCCAGGCACCTCCTTTATTTTTCTTTCCATCCCCCCAGATCTTTTGAGGAAGATGCTTCTTCTGAGTCATTGTCTCTTCATGGTGCTCTCGATGTATGACTCCAGCAAGAAGATTGTTTCATCTACCTGGATCTCACTGGCATCCAACCTGAATGAAAAAGTAAAAGCATTGCCCAGACCGAATGTTCGTTAGTATATTTAAATTTAGAGGATGGGGTAGTGTCTTGGTTACCCTTGAGAAAACTGGGTGGAAAGCAGAAGAACCAATAAATCACTTTTCATTTACTGAGCATCTTTTATGTGCCAGGCACTGTGGAAGCTGCTGAGTGTGTACAAGATAAAGCCTCCGTTTTTAGGGAGTTTAGCCTAACTTGCAACCAAGAGAAAGACTAGCACACATAAAGGTGTAGGTAAAAGGAGCTAGTGTATTTTAAAATCGTGAGAAGCTAAGAGTGGCTGAAGTGTAATGTTAGTGGTGATTAGGAAAAGAAGGGGACTTTCTTAACCTGATGTAAGCCACCTAGGGGAAAACCCACAGCTAACATCATACTTAATGGTGAAAAACCTGAACGCTTTCCCCTAAGATCAGGAGCAAGAGTAGGATGTCTGTTCTTGCACTTCTACACAAAAATTGTTTTTTTTTTTTTTGAAGGTGTAGTTGGACACAATGCCTTTTGTTTTATTTACTTATTTTTATGTAGTGTGGATTGAATCCAGGGCCTTGCCTGTGCTAAGCGAGTGCTCTACCAATGAGCTACAACCCCAGCCCCCAAATTGGTTGTTTTTCTCTATACTAGCAATGAATGAGCTAAAATAGGGACAGATAGGTAAAGAACAAACAAAACAAAACAAAAAACTTGGGAATAAACTGACAAAACAGGTGAAGTCTTGACCACGGAAAACAGTAACTCATTGTTGAAGGAACTTAAAGATGACCTAAGTAGATGGGCAGCATGCTTGTTGTGCTCACAGGTAGAGGATTTTAATGTTAAGATGGCAGTGTTCCCCAAGGCAGTCTGCATGTTCATCGTTATCCTGATTCAGGTGGGTGATGCAGAGTAAGAAAAAATGAAGGTGCTATAGGCTGCTATGAAATTGTGAAATTCACTGTATATCACACAAAGTCTGGTCTTTATACCATAAAGATAGGTAGTCAATAAATCATCTGAAATAGTGATATTATCAACCATTTTAAAGATGGTAACTTTGAAAGCACCATGAGATGGTTTGGATGAGGAAGTCATGGGAAGGTCTGGAAGAGATGTGTGAAGGTCTGTACGGGGACTAGGATGAAAGGCCATATTTGGGATACGTAACTGAGCTGAGGAAGAAGACGGTGAGTTTAGGTTGGCCCATGTTATCCCTGAGGTCTGGCAGGATATATATATATATTTTTTAAATATTTATTCTTAAGGTTTAGGTGGACACAATATCTTCATTTTACATTTACGTGGTGCTAAGGATCGAATCCAGTGTCTCGTGCATGCTAGGCGAGCACTCTACCTCTGAGCCACAACCCCAGCCCGGTCTGGCAGGATATTGCGATGGATTTGTCTGGAAGGTATTTCGAAATATAGCTTGAAGCTATGATGCTTACTTGTTGACATTCCGTTTCAGGGTCTCCAGCTGCTGGCGTTCAGGAGCTGTGATCATCTCTTCTATTTCTTGTAGCTGTGCCTCCTCTGCACCTGTGGCCTGCATAGATGCAATGATGGCTTCTACCCTCTGGGACTTTTCTAGTAGACGCCTGTCAGACAAACACAACTCTGAGGCATCTTCCTTAACTCTGAGGTTTTCTTACCCTTTCTCCCTGAGGCACAAGTTCCCCTTTCACCATGTTCCTGATCAAAGTGGATAACAGCACCTTTAAAGACATTTTCTGTAGACTTACTCTGCAAAATTATTTGGGGGTATACTGGAAAAGTCTAGACTAATGCACGATTTATGCCAACCTAAAACAATGATTCAATTAACTAGACTGGTTATTGGATAACTGTCTCCATTTCTATAGAAAATTCCCTTTAGGCCTTTGATCTTGAAAAATGTAAATGACAAATGAAAATGCTACTCACTTGTTCTCTTTGGTTTCAAATTGTCTCCTTTCTATTAAGTTGGCTATGCTCTGAGGAAAGAGAAGAAAGACTAGTTGTATTATTTAAAGTGGGTAGAGGTGGCACAGGATGAAACATCTCAGTGAAGGGAATGGGAAGAAACCACACGAGGTTACCTTGTAGCACCTGTGCAACAACATCCGGGCGGCTGACAGGACATTCACAGTATATAAATAGAAGGTCCTAGATGGGGCATGGTCTGGTGTTTTGGGAATTTCCTATTTGTCATAGAAAGAAAAAATAAGAAAAATTGTACGATTTTTTCAGAATTGGCAAAGTAAGCACCCATCCCATTCAGAGTCATTCAATTCTCTCTTTCACTAATACTTTCCCCTTCCCTAGTCATCTAGTTGCTCTGTTTATGACACAATCAGCCACATGAAGACTGCATAGCCCTGATTTTTTCATTTGACTATCAGCATCCTGAGTGGGAAAGAAAGGGAAGGCAACTAATACTTACTGAGCAAACTCAACATGCCAGGTGGCTCATATTTGACCTTGACAACCACACATGTTCTTATGCCACAATCTGTCACCATTGTTTAATGATGGTAGGTGACTTGTTCAATGTAACTGGGTAAGAGGCAGAGCTGTGATCTGCTCTAAAACCTATTCTACTACTTCCCGATAGCGTTTCTGACACGGCTTTGCAAAGACCCAACATATGCTATTGATAGAGTTAAGGCTCGGGAAAGGATAGGAATGATGGGAAAAAAGGGAAGCATGGTGTTACGGCAAATCCTTGGCTACCTTTCTTACTAGGCCAGTTAAAGCTCCACAGTATACTTTAAGTGCTTGTTATGTCTTTGTTAATAAATTTTTCTGTCTCATAGCTGGATTCAGAGTTTGCTTGGGGACTCAGTTTGCTTGAAACTCTACTTCAAGAGTTTTTCTCACTCTAGCACAGTTTTGCTGGTTGGCATTTATATGCATGGCTACCTGGAGTGATATGAAATTTTCTGAGAGCATCTTATATAGCATATCCTTTGCCTCCTTTGCAGGAATCATTGCAAAGTCCTCCACCTGCTTCTGCTCCAGGTGTTTCTTTTGCAAAACTAGACGGAATATTCTGGCACAGCGAGATCCGAATCTGGAAAGAAATAAACAAAGTAAATAGCGTACCAATACAAAAAAAAATCAACATTAGCTCCTGGTCTTAGATGGTTGTTGTCCTAGTCCACAAGTGGAGCCAGGACCAAAAGAACAGCAATCAGAGAATTCCTTCACATCTCCACAGGCTGGTGATGGTATTGTTCATCATAAAGGAGTCACCAACTGCTGACTCATTTGAGTGCCACAGTTATTGTGTTACAAGACTTTAAAGAGGCTGGTTAATTTGCATCACCAGGAATTAAACGGTGTTTTTTTGTTTTGTTTTGTTTTGTGGGGGGAGTGAAGAGTAGTAGTAGGTGGGGTCCATAGCTGTTCAGTGGAAAAATGGGGCAAAATGTGCCTTTACTGATTACTTACATAATGATTAAATGCTTGTTCAAATGAGGTATGGATAGGAAGTGTCTAGCTCCAATCCCAATCAGAAATGACCCCCTTACCTCTCCTGTACGACGGATTCCAGAGTCGCTGTGGCTAGAGATGCTAATGCCTTATGGAGGTCTTTATGTAGAGGATTAAGGTCATTTAGTAATGTTTTAGCCTTGTCATTTTGACAGTTTTATTCCTAAGTTTCTAATTTATAATTAAAATTTTATTTTTTACATTAGTTTTATTTATGGTATGTAAGTTTCTTAAAATTTTAATTAATGAAAATGTTTAAGAATTTTGCTTAACTAAAATTTGGTTGAGTAAAATTTCTTTTTATTTTGTCAATAATGTAGTTAATTGAAAATTCATAGAAAAATAGAAAGTTACTTCAATTTTCTAATTTATTTAGTATAATAAACATTACCAAATCTTTCTTTCATAAGTCACCATTCTGCTTTAAAGCTCAGGGTACCGTAATAACTAAGAATAATGGGTAGGAGTAGCACAGTGCTAGAGAGCTTGCCTAGCATGTGAGAGGCACAGGGTTTGATTCTCAGCACTGCATATAAATAAGTTAATTAAATAAAGGTCCATCAACCACTAAAAAAATTTAATGAAAAAAGAATAACTGGTAAGGATACTGATGACATACATTCCTCCACCACTGTCGCCAGACTTTCCAACAAACTCTAGCTATTAAAAAAAAGAGAAAGAGTGTTAACTGAATGGAAAGTCCAGTGATTCTGTTTCCAATGGAGTGAATCTGGCCAAGAGTCTGCAGCAAGTACCTTTCCTATCAGATGATGGTGGGGAAACTGTCTGAGCTGGCTAGTACAGAATGAGGCTACAGGAGAATGATACTAGGTGTCAGTGGCAGAAGTAAATTGTAAACAGAGGAGCAGGAAAAAAAAAGTGCAAAAATAGACTTACTGGATCATCTGCCAGCAGAGTGAGATACTGATCAAGAACTTGCTTAGAGATGTTATAGCCAACCGGCAGGGATCTGAAGATCTATGGAGCAAAAGGGGACACTGAAAATGGGCTTGATAATTTAGGATTGCTAACATTAATAAAGATGTTTTAATTTTAGCTATCACAAGTATTAAAAAATGTTCAAAAAATATTCACTGTAACACTGTTAAGAGTAGGAAAATAAGAAACAACCCAATGTCCAGTAATAAGGAATTAAAAAAAACTACAGCATGGGCATTAATGGGATAAAAGAAGTCTTATACTGTCATATGAAAAAAGTAAGTTGTAGGGCTGAGGATGTAGTTCAGTGGTACAGTGCTTGCCCAGCACGTGAGAGGTCATGGGTTTGACCCTTCACCACAAAACAAAAAAAAAAATGAGTACAATCTCATTTTTTTGGGTTAAAATAAAAATACATAGATCTACATATATGTTAGGCTATATGTTAAAAAAATGCTCCGAATAAACATATATACCAAACTATTAACAGGGATCTCTGGGGCTGAGATTATGTAAAATTATGGATATTTTAAATTGATGTATATTACAGAAAATAAGAAGCATAGATCTTAAGGGTTCAATTTGATCAGTATTGATAATTGTATATACCCATGTAACTACCAGGCACAATAAAGAACATTCTACCACCCTTGAACCTTTGGGTAAAGGGTAACTTTAAAAAATTTAGCCACAACATTCAATTTAAATAAATTATGAAATATAAATATATTTGATATATTAGGCATTAATATTTTAAAGATAATACAAAATTTAGCTGGGTACAGTGGCATAAGCCTATAATCCCAGCTACATGGGAGGCTGAGACAAGAGGATCAAAAGTTCAAGACCAGCTTGGGCGGGCTGGGGATGTGGCTCAAGCGGTAGCGCGCTCGCCTGGCATGCGTGTGGCC